TGAGTTGACAGTTTGATACTTTGAAAATTTTGAGCCAGCCCTACCCCCAAGGGCTGTAGGGTGGGGCTCAAAGGAGTCAGTGTGCTAAAATTTCTTCATTTTCCTTGTTTAGAATCAGAGGTGCTAGTTTCAAATACTTTTTAGTCTGAAATCTGTATGCTAGATATTGAATAAGGTGATTTTATTGTTTTTTGTCACTTTGAATAATATATCTGTTCATGTTAAAAACAAAATCAACTCTCTGTATAAATATATCAGGTGACCGTTAAGGCCCATGGGCCTCTTGTATTGTATGCTATTTAAAACATTAATATCGGGCTATGAATCCATCACAGGTCAACAGTGATGAGACCTGACCAAGTTCTAAGGTTGCTTATATCATATGATTATGTGTTACCCTGGACGTGTAGTTGTTAATTGATATTTTTGTATTAAATGACTACTTAAAGAGTGAAAGACCAGTTGTCCATGTGACTAGCTATTACACTGTTAGAATCAGATCTACCGTATTGTGAATTACTTACATTGATTGTGAGTAGGTAGTTTGTTGTATGTTTACCTAGGTATTTCATACTGTCTTATCTTTAAAGATGGCGAATGGTGTGAGCAAAATGCTGTGCGCGACTAAAGACACTGTACCACCCCATCTGAGAAGTCTGCTGACGGACCACTGCTGGCAGGTAACTAAACACCAGCAGATATAACAGTGACACTATACACTACATACATTAGGGGGGTCACAGAATGTTTAACACAGGTACCTGACTCCTGATACAGTGCAATGTTGCAAACAATCAGTACTCACATCAACAAATTACTATGGAGATCAATTAAAACTTCACAACAAATTACTATGGTGATCAATTAAAACTTCACAATAAATTACTTAGATCAATTAAAACTTCACATCAAATTACTTAGGAGATCAATTAAAACTTCACAACAAATTACTATGGTGATCAATTAAAACTTCACAAACAATTGCTATGGTGATTAATTAAAAGTTCACAAAAAATCACTGGAGATCAATTAAAACTTCACAACAAATTACTATGGAGATCAATTAAAACTTCACAATAAATTACTATGGAGATCAATTAAAACTTCACAGTAAGTTACTATGGAGATCAATTAAAACTTCACAGTAAGTTACTATGGAGATCAATTAAAACTTCACAGTAAATTACTATGGAGATCAATCAAAACTTCACAGTAAGTTACTATGGAGATCAATTAAAACTTCACAGTAAGTTACTATGGAGATCAATTAAAACTTCACAGTAAATTATTGTAGAGATAAATTAAAACATCATGACAAATCACTATGGTGATTATTGATACATCACAACAAATCACTATGGTGATTATTAATACATCGCAACAAATCACTACATTGATTAATAAAATCAGAAATCAGTATGCAGATAATAAAAACAAAGCAAATCACTATAGGGATACATGTAGTTCACTTAGAATTAACACTTAGAATTGACACTTAGAATTAACACTTAGAATTGACACTAAAAGGCAGATGAAGAGTCAATGAAAGGTTAGAATTTAAACCAATAGATTCAATTATAATAAAAATGAGTATTAGTAGTTGTTTCCCCTGATTTGATTATTAATTTGATTATACCAACTTGTTTATATGTGTTTGTATGTGTTCTAATGTCTATGTCTATGTCTATGCTTGTACCACTGTCTGTTACTATGTTTGGAAAGGGCTTAAATAGGCTATGCCTGCTGCCCAATCCATTTGTCCTTTGACAATAAAATTTATTGAAATTGAAGAGTCAATGATTTGGTCAATGTTTTTTTGTTGTTTTTAGGTCACCTGAGCTTTAGCTCAAGTGACCTATTGCTATCCGTTTTCGTCCGTCGTCGTCCGTCGTCCGTCGTCCGTCGTCTGTTAACATTTTACATTTCAAACTTAAAGTCAAGTTCTGCTTGGCCGATTGAACTGAAAGTTGGTAGGAATGATCGCCTCATGGTCCTGACAAAGTGTTGTTATTTTTCGGGTCGATCAGAAATCCAATATGGCC